TTTCCGCGGATTCCTTTTGTTTGGAAACTTCTTTTATAAAAATATTTCTCGAGTTTTATAAAACGATTTCTCGAGTTTTTATAAAAAGATCTCTCGAAATTTTATAAAATGATTTCTCGAGTTTCATAAAACGATTTCTCGAGTTTTATAAAACGATTTCTTGAGTTTTATAAAACGATTTCTCGAGTTTTATAAAATGAATTTCTTTTTTATCTTTTTGCGGGAAGTTTTGGCTATTTATTCCGTCATATCAATTTTGACCCCAACAGTCTTTTATCAAAAACAACGGTCACACGTAAAACGAATACGAAAATCGGTAAATTACAATGGAGCTTGTTGAAAGGCCTTGACGCCTTCGAAAACGGCGTCTCGGCTGGTATCTCGGCCGGCTCAACCTCATCCAAGGAAAATGAGAAATCGATATAATCCTCAACATTTATATCTGCGTCCAACCATTGATCTAGATCAATCGGAAAATCTCTTTCCTATGGAGATCTAGATCTCTCCCTCGCTTCCGCATCATCATCCGCCTCGACCTCGACGTGATCTTTCTGAGAAAAACCAGAAGAGTAATAGGCAACGGCGCGATGAACTCTCTTCGGAGAAAAGTATCCCCAATAGAGCGGACCGCAACGAAGAAGACTCCTAACCAATGCAAGGTCTTCGAGTAACGGCACAGGGGGGTGAGACGCTGCAAATCACAAATCAGACATAAAGATTAGAACGTGGAAACAAAAAAAAAATGCCAGTCTAAGTACCTTTTGTCACCCATTTTCTCCTGAGTAAAGGGATGCAACTTTCCTCCACCGAAGCACTATCGATCCGAACGTAAAAGAACCAGTCCTTCCACTCGTTTCCGTTCGAGGCGAGTCCGTCAATAACCACCATATCCAACCGCGGAGACAAGTAGAAACAACCCCCGCGTGAACACTTTGGCAGCAGCATAGCCTCGAGATAGTCCGTGCTGAGAGACATGCAACATTGATAACTCAGAACCAAAAGCCCGACAAGGTCCTGCAACGCGGAGGGACAAAGCTGGCTGACCAGTAGTTTGAACCAATCCATGAGCTCAACGATGGCTCACGAAATAGGGAACCACAGTTGACAATTGAGTAGAAAAGCTTGTAACACGTAAAGTAACCCGAGGGCGGAGTCTCGGCATCTTGACCCCATTCGGGAAGGCGCAACTGCACCAAATCCGGGATCATGCGAGAATTCCGCAATTTCCTGAGAGAACAAGCAATACTCGCGCTCGGACATACATTTCTCCTCCGAAGCGTACCCCTCCTTGGAACCCAGAAGTTAGAAGGGGAACATCGTATACGCACAAAGCTTTCCGAAAATCCTTGGTTTCTTTCTTACGCGCGGTAAATCTCAAAAAGACCGGCTCGGGAAGGACACGGCCATCGGAAGAATCGAGATCACTCAGTTCAAAGATTGACGCATGAGCGCACTCCGAAGCTCTCCATTTGGAAGACATGTTGAGCAATCAAAATAAAGAGAGATTCAAAGAGAAAGGAGAAGACAAAACTTCTTGAACCTTAGAAAAGTTATGTGGAAAGAAGTGAGTAAACAATTTGAAAATTTACTCCACATACTTATAAGAAAAGTTTTACTATTCACCTTTGGACTTTTGGCCATTAACGTTCCGCCTAATTCTACCAAACTTGCCGAGCAAGTTCAAACCGCTCGCAAGAAATCTACGATTCTTACGGACTGGAGGGCTAACTGTTGGGGTCAAAATCTGTCCGACGGAATCAATGACCAAAACTTTCCGTAAAAATAAAAATACATTTTATAAAACACCAGAAGTTGTTTTATAAAATTCTAAGAACTTTCCGAACAAAGGAAATCCGCGCAAAACTTGGAAATTGTCATCTCGTAAAAATGAACAAAACAATCTCCGATTACACGATTTCCCTAGTTAAGCGAAAAAACGCAAAAACCGCATCCGCCATACTACGAGCAGGTTTGACCGAACCAGTTCAATGTGCGACGAGCTGGTGGTCACGAACCAGCTCGCCGTAGGGCGAGCTAGTTCGGCCAAACCAGCTCTCCGTTCGGCGAGCTCTCCGTCTATCCCTCAACGCAAGGCATACGTCCTTCAATTCGATCGTGCTCTAAACCATGGTCGAAACATCTCTCGTTTCATCTCGATCCATCTTACCATTCGAGTTTTACGATAAAGATCGTAAAATTCATATTTTCTCGTGAGAATTCGAGAAGATTGTATAAAACGGCAATGATTAGACGGAACATCGTACATTGTCAAATTATACGATTAACTCGAGATCTTTTATAAAAGAATCACTAAAGACGCGTTTTCTCGTAAAACCTCGAGTAAATAGTATAAAAATGGCAACGTTTAAACGAAACACCAAACATTTCCAAACTATATGATTTACTCGAGACGTTTACTTAAAACGTTTTCGTATCAGGAAACGATCTTGTTTAAAGTCGTAAAACGGCTAAATCGTAAAACGGCTCGAAAGATCCTAACACGCGATAAAGGCCCACACTCAACTTTGAATAGGGTCCAGTCCAAAGATAGAATGACGGTTTACTCGCAGAAAGAAGATACATGTCAAGTTTGAAGATAAATAGAAGATTTTTGAGGAAAAATGGAAAGATCGAGATAAATGAAAGATTTTTGATAGACTCGAATCTGGGAGAAAAGGAAGGACTAAACCGCCTAAGGAGGGCGTATATAAGTAGATGGCCTAGGATAGAAGACATGGACGATTATCAGATCTCTCACCACCAGACTTAGCCTTTAGGCAATTTTTTTTTTTTGTTATCGAGCTGCGTCTCAATTAGGGTTTTAGTCTTCGATTGCTAGAACTAGGAATCTCGCCGCCAGCTCACGCAGCTATGGCTTACTCTTGTTGTACCGTTCTTACGCGAATTCGTAATAAGACTCCTTCTTTCTCCCAATCTCATTTTTTTACATCTTTACTTTATTCTCATCGTATTCTTGATTGCCTGTGTGTGGTTCCGCAGATAGCCGGGTCCTCTGGGAAATTAGGGTTTTCTCTAAGTTGCTAAATTTACGTAAAATCGACAGGGGTCTGTTCCCACAAACACATTACTGGAATGGAAGGTAGAGAAAGTCTTTTCTAGTATCTCCTTTTTGGTTACTTCTTCACCACATAGTCTCATCTATGAGACAATCTTGAAAAAGACTGAATTGTATTCATCCACGGATTTATTGTCCTGGAATCTGAGATTCCTCCACTCATATCTAGCCTTTGGTAGTAACACCGTTTTCTGGTGATCATATCTCGGCAGTAAGGCGGTCCAAAGATCTAGAGGATTCTCCATTGTGAGATACTGATCTTTTAGACCCTCTGTGAGATGATGACGAATGATACTTATTGCCCGGTATATATTCTTGTCATTCTCTTTATTCTCCTCGATAATAGTATCACCGAGTCCCTTTGACCTCAGGCAAATCTTAATATCCAATGCCCACATGAAATAGTTATCTCTAGAGAGATTAAGGGCAGCATAGTCCAGATTGCAAATTTTCGACATCTGAATCAATATCAATCATATTTAGGGTTTCATTATATGTTTATCAATCAATACAATTTGATATATATGGAATATCAAAGAATACAATTGGATTTTATTAAACATGAATCTCGACCTAAAAAAGTTCTAATACAACCATGGTGCAACCAAACAACCTAAGGTTTGAGTGCTATATGTAATAAGGGTGATAAGGCAACACGGCCTTGTGTTATGATGCAAGCAATGAACAATTATGAAAGCAAAGAACTTTAAGAAATAACAATGATCAATCCCGATTCAAGGATTAGGTTTAGGGTTTATCAATGCAACCAACAAATAATTTTAAGAAACAAAACAATGACAATCAGGGTTCTATATTAGATTTAGGTTTTACAAATTTAGGGTTTTCAATTTAGCAATATGCGCCTAAGGTTTAAGGTTTCCAGATTAGGGTTTTAGACTAGGGTTTCAGATTTTAACAATTAAACAATCTTTACTAATGATCTTAAACCTCAAAACAATATAATTAACAATCAGATTTTAGCAATTTGTGATTTAGGGTTTTCAAGGCCCTTTTAGGGTTTCAACTTCAGAATTAGGCTAAACACTCAATCTGGCAACCTAAAACTAATATAATCAAACAATTTATTCAAACAAAACAATCATCAAAATCGGATTCAACGTTAAGGTTTAGGGTTTTCAATTCCACAATTTAGGGTTTAGGGTTTTTAGATAAATCAAAAAATAAATCAACCAAAATATTTTTTTAGGGAATCGAATGTCTTGCAAAGAACATGTGGTTTTATGTTTTAAGGTTTAGGTGATAGATTTTTAGGGTCTAAAAGATGAATGGCTTTAGGGTTTGATCATTATGTTTTAAGGATTAATCAAAGTTACCTTAATTTTTGTAGGTCTGAACCAGCCACCTAGAGAGAGAAGAGGAATCGCGGCTGAGCTGAGTCGGAGCTGTCGAGAATTATTTTTCGGGATCGGATGAGTGCTTCTTCCGGTTGAGATTGATCGGGTTCTGGAACATATCGTCCAAGAACTTGGTCGGATTTGATTCTGATCACGAATCAGGGTTCCACCGGAAAAAGGAAAGACAAGGGTGGCTGTGATTGATCGACGAGAAAAGGAAAAACCCGGCCTAGGGTTTCCGCGAGAAAAAAAGGAAAGAGGAGCCGCGGTGGACTTGATGAGCGCCGGCGAGGTCTAGGGTTTTCTTGATCGGATTTTTAGCTTAGGGTTAGAGAAACAACTCGTGCTGATAACGTATTGTGAACTAGAGAGAATTGTATGAATGTTGTTTGTATTATTAATGATCATTAGGCTCCCTTTATAAAAGGGTTGCGAGACATAATAAAAAGAAAAGTACACAAATCCTAAACCAACTAGGATTAGGAAAACAACCATTACAAGGAAAAAGAAGTAAGGCACTTGGCCGCCTATGCCTAGTTGCTCGTATGAGCCTATGATCTAATCTATGGTTATGGACCATCCACTATAAGGATTATAACACATTGTGTATTCTTTCCCTAGGATGAAGTAATAAACCATCTCAACTGCCCCAAACATAAACGATGGTTCATGACCCACACACACACAACCCGATCAAGCAAGAATCACTTGAAAACATAAAATGCAAACAAGATGCGTGATACACATCTATTCATCGTTCCTTACTCTGTTTCCATAATACTTACGTCAGCAAAGCGAAGCAAATAGGACCCAAAACAGAGAGTGATGCGACACTAATATAGTTCAAGTTCGAAACTGCAACTTAACTGGAAATAAAGAAAGGTCCACAAGAAACAAAGAGTACATAGCTCAAAAAAAAAAAGCAAAACATAAAACCAAACAACAATGAAATTCAGAATGCTAACATAACAAGTTTTGTCAACTTCCTCGATCTTAGGGCCAGCACCTCCGGCAGAAGGAGGAGCTTCATCAACGTTCATTCCAGCAGACCCACCTGCTTCACCACCGGCTCCTTGATACATCTTAGCTATGATCGGATTGCATAAACTTTCCAACTCTTTCATTTTGTCTTCAAACTCGTCTACTTCAGCCGTTTGGTTCCTATCAAGCCATTGGATTGCCTCCTCAACAGAATCATCAATCTTCTTCTTGTCTCCAACCGGAAGCTTCTCACCAATCTTTTCATCACGGATGGTGTTTCTCATGTTGTAAGCATAGTTCTCAAGTGCATTCTTGGCTTCAATCTTCTTCTTACGCTCCTCATCCTCAGATTTGTACTTCTCAGCCTCTTGCACCATCTTCTCTATCTCGTCTTTAGACAAGCGACCCTTGTCATTGGTGATCATGATCTTGTTTTTTTGGCCCGTAGTCTTGTCCTCGGCAGAGACGTTGAGGATTCCATTTGCGTAAATGTCAAAACAGACTGTGATCTTAGGGACACCGCGTGGAGCAAGAGGGATGCCAAAGAGCTCAAACTTTCCGAGGAGGTTGTTGTCTTTGGTTCTAGCTCTCTCACCTTCGTAGACTTGGATCAACACACCTGGCTTATTGTTTTAGTAAGTGGAGAAGACATGTTCCTTCTTGGTCGGGATAGTTGTGTTTCTCTGGATCAAGGTGGTCATGACTCCACCAGCGGTTTCAAGACCTAGAGAAAGAGGAGTAACGTCCAAAAGAAGAAGGTATTGCACCTTTTCATTCCTTTCACCTCTTAGAATAGCACCTTGCACAGCTGCTCCATAAACCACAGCCTTGTCAGGGTTAATGGACTTGCAAAGCTCTTTACCATTGAAAAAATCGTGGAGAAGCTGTTGAACTTTGGGGATACGTGTAGAACCACCGACAATGACAACATCATGGACTGTTCTCTTGTCCATCTTAGCATCAGGTAGACACTTCTCAACAGGCTTCATACACTTCCTGAAAAGATACATGTTTAGCTCCTCGAACCTAGGACGAATGAGGGCAGAATAGAAATCAATCCCCTCAAAGAGAGAGTCAATCTCGATGGTTGTTTTAGCAGTGGAAGAAAGAGTCCTCTTTGCTCTCTCACAGGCCATCCTCAACCTCCTCAAAGCTCTGGGGTTACCGCTAATTGATATGCTCAAATTAACCTTCAAGCTATTCTCTCAAATAAGAGGTTCGATGTAGTACTTAAGGATCGATTCCACAGAGACCAAATCTTACACTTTATTTCTATGGGATCAACATTAAGCTAAGATAATGAATGGTTTTTAAAGTAAGAAAAAAAGCAAGTAACAGACTTGTTTGGGGTTTTCAGATGATGAAGAATGCTAGCCTAGGGTGGTTCATTAGGTGTTAATCATAGTGAACCAAACAATTATTCAAGCTCTTTAAGAACAGCCTAGAACTCAGTTTTCTTAGCTAGAACACCCTGATCTCGCAAGTATGCTCCTTTTGCAGAGCGACCTTGATACCTATGCTCTCGCCTGGATCAAGGCTTGACAGCAAACAATAAGCGCAGACCTAATACGTTCACAAAATACCCTAATATCTACTCTCGCTGATCTGATATATGATGCTCGTTTATGAAGATCTAGCAACCTAATTCATGGTAAATGATAAAAGGTTAACCTAGATTCAAAAACTAAGTGATTAGATTAGTATTATCATTAAGAGCAATTATAAACGAAGACAAAAAGATGAAACTTAACTATGTTCAGTTCATGAAACAAAACCTAGAACCCTAGACTAACAAACCCGAGTACTCAGCCATAGCACAAGAAAACACAGAGATCATAATAGAAGAAGACATGAAATAATACTGAAATAAAAGAGAATTAGGGTTCAGGAGGTCTTCTCTAAAACGAGAGAAATGAAGATCCTACTCCCTTTACAAAAGTGCAAAATCTCCAATCGTTTCTTCTCTCTAGAATAGCGTTAGAAAAATAAAGAGAATAGGAAAAAGCATATTTTTATAGAGGCCACAGGCGGCTGGGAGAAGAAGATAGAAAAACAAGGGAAAATCACAAAATTAATCAGAAGTTTCCATAATTTTCGGGAGCAGGTCGGGGCTGCTCCGTTTGGGCGCTCTGCGACAGAAAACTTCCAATTTTCATTATTTTCTTCATGTGTCTTTTTAATGGTCTCCTTACCTACTCCAGACCTGTAATGACTCAAAAATGACTAGAAAGACTCGATAAAAACTTGAAAACAATTAATAAAACATATATACAAGATGCCAAAACACCATATATCAATTCCTCCTGACTTAGATCTTTGTTTGTCTTCAAACAATGTCAAGTATCAAGAACATGGAGGAAGGTTTAAAAGTGTGGGAACTCTCTTATGGCTCAGCAACCATACTTTAACCCCAAATCTCTGAACCATACAAGTAGACATACTAGGACGACACACCCTTACTTGAACCCACCCCACTGACTGCTGTTCAAGTCGGCTCCATACTCTATATCTCAAACCTACAAAAGTCACACTTTCCAGACAAAACTCCTTACATTCATTTAAGAGCAGTGTGAGCTTCTTGTCACAGGCACTATTCAGGGTAGACGGTCTAGGTATGAAAAAACATTTTTAGTGTTTAGGTGCAGCTAATCACTGTTTAGGGGTTACCATTTCTTTGTAGAGGATGCAGGATATCGCGGAAAATTTCAAGAGAGGATGGATCCATTGATCGCCACAGACCCCCACTCGTTTTTTTCTCTACAGAGCAGCCGTATCTAGTTCCTCTTTCCTTTGACAGGTTGTTCTCTTTTTTCCAGATCACCTTTCTGTTGGGGTCAAAATCGGTACGACGGAATCAATAGCCAAAACCCGAAATCGTTTTATAAAACCCGAAGATCATTTTATAAAACTCGAGAATCGGTTTATAAAACTCGAAGATCGTTTTATAAAACCCGAGAATTGTTTTATGAAACTCGAAGAATCGTTTTATAAAACTCGAAGATCGTTTTATAAAACTCGAGAATCGTTTTATAAAATCCGAGAATCGTTTTATAAAATGATTAAGAAATCATTTTATAAAACTCGAAGAATCGTTTTATAAAACTCAAAGATCGTTTTATAATACCCGAGAATCTTTTTCTAAAACTCGAAGAATCGTTTTATAAAACTCGAGAATCATTTTATAAAACTCGAAGAATCGTTTTATAAAACTCGAAGAATCATTTTATAAAACTCGAAGAAACATTTTATAAAACTCGAAGATCGTTTTATAAAACTCGAGAATCGTTTTACGAAACCGCAAAAAACCGAAACAGCCGTAAAACGCGAACTAGGAGACCCTTGACTTGTTCGCCGGTGGGCGAACTAGTCCATCTCGACTAGTTCGCCCACCGGCGAACTAAGCCAAGCTGGCTTAGTTCGCCGGTGGGCGAACTAGTCTCGTCCCGACTTAGTTCGCCGTTGGACGAACTAGAGACTTCCCGGACGTCCCGAGCACCAATCTCCCACATCCCCGATTCGAAACTTACATCTTTCGACACGGTCGCATTCTGAATCACAGCTGAAATGTCGACTGTTCCATCTCGATCCGACCTATCGTTCGAGTTTTACGATAAAAACCGTAAAACTTCGTTTTCTCGACAAAGAACTCGAGGAAATTGTATAAAATGGCAACGGTTAAACGAAACACCGAACATTGCCTAAACTATACGATTTATTCGAGATTTTTCGTTAGAATCTTAAGAAACGCGTTTTTAATAAAAACATCGAGTAAATCGTAAAACTTACGATTAACTCGAGCAATTTACTAAAAACAGCATCAAATCAGGAAACGATCCCGTACAAAGTTGGAAAAAAGATTTTATCGCAGAACGGCCCGGAAGGTCCTAAAACGCGATAAAAGCCAACTCGTGATCTTAACGGAATCTAACCCAAAGATACGATAACGTTTTGACGGTTTGCTCGCAGGAGGAAAATAAACGTCAAGCTTGAAGATAAAAGGCAGGTTTGAAGAAAAATAGAAGATTTCCGCGGAAGAAAATGAAGGATCGAGAAAAATGGAAGATTCCCGATATACTCAAATCTGGGCGAAATGGAAAGACCGAATGGCCAAGGCGAGGAGTATATAAGTAAGAGGTCTAGGGCAGAAGCAAAGGACACGATTTTCAGAGCTCTCACCACCAGAAATTAGCATTTAGGAATATTTCCGTTTTCTGTTAGCGAGCTGCGTCTCAATTAGGGTTTTTCGTTCTTAAGCTTTTCGGCTACTCTTTTTGTACCAGTTCTACGCAGATTCGGAATAAGAACCTCTTTGCTCTCAGTTTCGATTATTCTCTTAAAAATTCTAAGTTTATCATTTTCTTAATCTTCGTTGTGCGGTTCTGCAGATAGCCGGTTCCTCTGGAAACTTAGGGTTTTCCCGAAGTTTCCTTTTTTACGATTTATTGACAGTAGGTGGATTTCGGTTCCCACAGTTTGGCGCTAGAAGGAGGGGGAGTCGGATCTATCTTACACCGAAGCCGCAACATGTCCAACGAAGAAACGATGACTGGTGACAACCAAACTCGCAACGAACGCGATAACGTTGAAACAACACCACCACAAGGTGTGTCTGCGGCCAATGCTACAAACGCTAACGCCGAGACCCTCGAGAAGATGCTTTTCGAGTTTAACAAAAAAACGGAAGAGCAGAAAAAGCTCATTAGTTTGCTCACGAAACGGGTAGAGACCTTAACCGTGAAAACCCAAGAAATTCGCCCTCGCGGAACTACTAAGATCCGCGGAAGGAGGGTCGTCTTTGGTGCTCCTACGGATCGTCCCAGAACCGAGCAGGGTAACTTACCGGAAAAGGAATCCGGAAAAGAAAATCCTGACGCGACGCTAAACGAATCGGAGAAACCTCCTACTCACGAACAGGAGACCGAGGGCGGTGGCATCGAAAGGGTTAACCTGGAGACAAGCGACCAGGCCGATTCATCGGACGAAGACGGTGACGTCCATCCTAGGAGAAGAAAGACTCGAAGTCCTCTGCCGGAGTCTTCTCCCGAACATTCTTTTACTGGAGAAGAGGGGGAACTCGACTTCACGCGATACGCAAAAACTGCCGAGGAGCGATCTCCAGTCACTCGCAGCAAACGCCGACAAGGTCGGCAAACTGCTGGCGGTCTGACCGAGATTCGCGATCTCCGCGAATATATAACCAAAACGGCCGCAGCGGTAAAAGCGGTGAAATCTCAGATTCACCACGCTACCAACGCCGCACCCGAGATTGATCGGCTACTGTACGAGTTTCGGAAAACGCCTTTCACGGCCCGCATCACCGAGATCAAACTGCCCGATGCCGGAAAACTTAAGGTCCGACTTACGACGGGACGTCCGATCCCAAAGCGCACCTACAAGCATTCCAGATCACCATGGGACGAGCCAAGCTCAAGGACCACGAAAAAGACGCAGGCTACTGCGGCCTCTTCGTCGAAAACCTAGAAGGAGCCGCGCTCGAATGGTTCGCCAAACTTAGGCGAAATTCGATCGGAAGTTTCCGTCGACTGGCTTCGGAATTCCTGAAGCAGTACTCGATGTTCATTAACCCGGAAACCTCCGACGCCGACCTTTGGAGCTTGGTGCAGAAGGAGGACGAATCTCTCTGCGATTTCATGAGTAGGTTCAAACTCGTCATGGCTAGGGTTAGCGGGATTAGCGACAAAGCCGCCATCGACGTGTTAAGGAAATCGCTCTGGTATAAATCGAAATTCCGCAAGTGGATAACTCTCGAGAATCCTCAGACGATCCAGGATGCGCTCCATCAAGCCACTGACTTCATAAACATCGAAGAAAAGACTAAAATCTTGTCAGAGAAGCACAAGCCGACGAAAACATCCGCGAAGGATAACGCGTCCGAGCAGAAGCAGAAAAAGAGGAACTCTCGTAACGACAAATTCGTCCATCACGAGGGACAAGATCTCCAAGGGGCGCATAACTACGCCATCAACTCCAATTCGGAGCAAGGGCGAACTAAGGGTAACACGTGGACGAGAAATTCGAATTAAGATGAGAATTCTTTCTGCGACCTCCACCAAACCCGCGGGCATTCCACCGTGAACTGCAAAGTTCTCGGCGCCAGACTTGCCGCAAAATTGGT